ACTTCCTAAACTCTCCCGGAGTTCAGAGGAATTCCAGAGCAGATCAACGGGATTGAGAACAACGGTATTTTCAGGTGCTAACGTCCACGGGAAGATCCAATCCAGGTGGTTCCCTCCCTCGGGAGCCCCGCGCTCCCTTACAGGTTTCCCCTCCCGAAATTCCCGGTGTCCGGCGCCTCTCCAGACAAAACCCCGTCGGCTCTGGCCGGGATCTGCCAGAATGGGGACATTCCCAGCAGATTTGAGGTGCCTGATTAAGTCTTTTAGGGTTGGGAGACACTTTGCGTTCACAGAGGCGTTGGTTCTGCTAACATCGAAAGTAATAATAATAATAATAATAATAATAATAATAATAATAATAGTGGTCGGTGCCTCGGTTTTCCTCTCCTCCCAGGCAACTGAAACTCGGGAAAAAGATGAAGGTTTAACCCAGACTCCTGTGGCCGTGCGGAGGTGAGGAATAAGTGGAGGAGGAGGAGCGGTGAGAGGTAGATCCCACCGCCACACCAGGTTCCCATACGGAAGGAGGGAGGGGTCCACTACCTGAAGCAAGTGGGATCCGAGCTCCATGGCCACGTTATCCAAGGGCCCTATCCTGCTCGGCTGTCCCCAGGCGTCGCCCAGACCTGCAAGGGAAGCAAGGAGCTGGTTAGAGCGGCGAGCGGAGCCGGGCCAGTCCCGCAGACCCGTCGGGACTGAGCTGCCCCCAATCCGCCCGCTCCCCCCATTCCCCCGCGGATCAGGCCGGGGGGTTAGGAAGGTTTGGGAAGGCTGGGTCCCTTCTGCATACACTCGTGGGAAGGCAATTGCTCTTTTTCTGGGCAAGGGCACCCCTTCGGAGGGGTTTTCTCCCTCCCCGGAGAGCTGTCGGCCCCCAGGGAGGCGACGACCCCAATAGCTCCCCGTCGTCCTTCCAGCAGCACCGTGCCCGTCCCTCCTCCCCGTGGCGTTATCACCCGCGACCCCCACGCTGGCCAAGGCGAGTCCAGGCTGGGAAAGGGGCTGAGGAGATCAAAGGGGTCGGGGAGAAACTGCCCCGACGGCTCCTTCGCCTGCGCACGGGCGGGACCGACCCACTGGCTCAACTTCGCCCCCACGGCCCCACCGAGCCCCGGCCCCGCTGACCCCACAGCCCGACCCGATTAGGGGGAGCCCGGCACTGCCTCGGTGACAGCGAAAAGTCATCGACGGAGCTGGTTTGGACGCGGAGAGGGGCTGGGATGGAGTTGGTTGGTTGGTTGGTTGGTTGGTTGGCAGGGTTTTTGTTTGTTTTTCATTGCCTCCGCGCAAACAAGGCTTACACCGGCTCACCGAGGGAGCTGAGACCACCACCCAGTGCAATTAATTAGGTGTTTTAGGAGTTTCGCGGAGTGCAGCTGAAGAGTTGGGCACTCACGTTGGCACCTGACGGCAGACGAGCCGCTCTGCCCGCAAGGGCGCACAGACGGAGGGGAAGGGATGGATGCGACCACATCCTTCCAGCGCCTCCTTTTTGGGGAGAAAGAGCAGCCCTGGGGCCGCAGCACGACCGCTGCGAGGCCACGGAGCCCTCAGGACGCTGTGGAAGAGGATGAGAGACAGGGATTCGGTGCTGCCAGCCCGGCGGGCCCGTGAATTCCACGATGGCCCCGGGGGTCCCGTCTGGAGCGCACACGCGAGCGATGGATGCTCAGCCCTGCGCCCCTCAGCCTTCAGGGTCGCTTCAAACCCACGTGTGGCCGTGAAACCGAGAGCCGTGTTTTCCTCCGGCGCCCTCTCACCGCCCAGGGGCTTCCAAAGAAACCTCCCGTGGGGCACTGGCGGGGGCCAAGGCGGCTGCGGCAGGGGAGGGGAGAATTTGGCACCCGGGCACAAATCCCTGCGTGATTCTGAACGCGCCTCCTGAAGCCCTCACGGACCTGCGTGTGCTTTGGCCGCTTAGACCTGGTCTAGAAACGATGCGAGGCTTTCCCTCAGCTCTGGAGGAGTCCCTTGGGAAGGACAGGATCTCCCGGGGAGGATGTGCCGCAAAGCGGTGGTTCCCTCCGAGTTTTACCGCCTCTCCCGGTGTCAGCCGAGCCTGGCCCCGTGTCCCGCTCCCTCCGGGCAGGCACAAAGGAGCCTCTGAAGCCACGCAGGGAACCCTGGGTGGACCTTGGCCGGCCCTGACACCTCCGTTCCGCCGTCTCAAGGCAGCAGCAGCAGCACCCAGGGTCATTCCCACGAAGCATCCCCACCCCGTGCCGGGGGATCTCTCCAAACCCACGGAGTTCTCAGCGCGTGGCTGCCCTTCCCTGTGGGCAGGGGAAGGACACCTTCCCCCCGCGCTGGGAATTTTGCTTGGAAGCGCCAAACGAAAACTCGCGCTTTCCTGCGCCGCTTCCCAATTCTCCTTCAGGGGGAGGCTCCTGAATTTCCAGAGACACGTCAAAACCTTCTTTGTGCCGAAAAGCTGCTTCCTCTGGGGAGGGAGGAAAGTTTGGGGATGGCAGAGACATCCTGAGGTTTCTTTCCCGAGACTGCAACAAATACAAACGACAGAGCCTGTCCCGGCTCCCTTATTTCGATTTACTAATTACCAATCACAGAACACGGGGTTGCAATACTGAAAAGGGGGTCGCACATGGCGGAGTAAAAACTGCCCGGAGACGAGCTTTAACTTTCCGATGGACGAAGCACATTTATTTTTTTTTTTGGCCACTCCCGAAGCTCTTCAAGAACGAGCCGTGTTTCTGCCTCACACCTGCGTGGCAATTCGCTCCGTCCTGTCCGTCACGGCAGGAGAGGTACCACTTCACATCAGCCCCCCCCCAAATCTGCACTAGTTTTGAGGTTCTTTCCTAGCCCGGAGTGAAAAAAAAAAAATTTAAAAAAAAATTTAAAAAATCACTTCGGCGGATTTGTTCCCTTTGCGACTTTAAACTGGAATTGCAATTGCGAACCCGCATCAAAAGTAAACACTTTTGGTGGATCAGCCTGGCATTTGTCTAAGCTTATTTTAGAGCCCAAGATTTTATCATTTAATCCGCCAGCAGATCGCTTTAAAGGTGGGAACGAAACGAATAAAACCTGACGTTGAAATAAAGGGCTGACGCCCATTAACTCGTCTTCCGAGAGATTTGCAAACGCACCGCGTTACGTCCCGTAAACATACGGATGCGATAGACTCCTGCCCAGCCGGTAAATAACGCGCATTTTCACTCACTGGCCTGGAGCGAGGCCAAAATTGCTGCCGATACGCAGCGAGCCTTTCCCACATCGCTCCATCGCGGGGGGACTTTGCTGGGCTGGCCCCGGCCCGGAGGGGACCCCCGTCGGGGCGGGCTGACCGGGGGTCCCACGCGGCTTTGCAACCGAATTTTTCCACCGAAATGTTTAAAAATGCCCCTTTGCAGCACGAATTCAGTGCTGCCCCGGCCCAGAAAGGGATTTCCCCGCAAGCGAGTGGCCGGAGCATCCTTCCTGCGAACGCTGGGAACACGCGTGGGGGTGGCTTGGCTCCCGGGTGCAACCCCTTTGCAGTGTTGGAGGGTAAGGAATCTCCTAAATCCAGAGGTGTGGGGCGATTCCGGGCTCTGCCGGCAGAGAAAAACCCGCAAAGCCTAAGCCGGGCTCAGCGGCAGAGCCCGCCCCGTCCGGCGGGGCTGGCACGGCCAAGGGAAGGGTGACTCGCCATTCCCAGGCTCAACCTCGGCTTTCCTGGCACCCCGCGGTCGGCAAACAGGGATGAGAGGAGCCTCTCTCCCTGTTTATCCTGCTTTTACTGGTGTCTGTCCCCACCGGGACCAGGGCCGCTCAGGGAGGGCAGGACGGGCGCAGTGGGATGCGGGGCAGGGGAAATAACCGGCCCTGAACGCGACTGTGCCCTTCAACTCCCTCCAACCGGCAGGTTCGGCTCCGAAAACGCCGTCCCGGAGGCAGAGAGAGGCTCTTGCCCCGACACCCCGAACTTCGTGCTGCTTTTGCCATTGAAAGGCGGGGGGATTATCACACGAAGGCGCCCCCCTCCCTTTAGCAAACCCTGGCACGATCCCCCCCACCTATCCGTCTTTTGCCACCTCTGGCTGTTTCTCAAAATACCTCAACATTCGCTTTGTACCATTTCCCAGTTTCCAGGCGGGATGGAGTGTGAGTTTAACTGTAACAAGAGCTAGAAATATTCGGGGACAACACCCACCTCTGCTCTCCCGCGTACATAAATTCGTAGGCGCACACATTTGAAAGCCCGGTAGCTTTTCTGCTCGCGATTCTGCTAAAAGAATTACTTTCGCGATGTGTTATGTAAAGTATCGGGTTGCCCTGTAACTTGGAGTATTTCCTTTGTGTCTGCTGGGCTGTTCCCCGGCTCCCCCGGAGCGCACGGTCCCCTCCTCGTTATTCAATCGCCACCCTTCGCAAGGATCTTTGGGTCAACTACAAGCTCCGGGAGTGGATTTTGGTGTTTTGGTTGTTTTTTTTTTTTTTTTTTTTTTCCCCCAGAGCGGTTGTGCCTGGCTGGGCCAGGAAAGAAAAATCACCGTGAGGGTGGGGACGGCCCCTACTTTACATCGAGCTTTGTCTCCCTGGTTTAGTCGAGGTCCGAGGTTGGATCGGGCTCTCGCGTCATGCCGTGGTGTGGGGGAGGCAGCGGGGCGAGGGACAAGGATGACACTTCGCTTTAAGCAGGGAGGGCAGAGGTATCTCGAGGTATCTCAGCCCCGACGGCGCTGAGGGTCGCACCGCCGGAGCCGGGGTGGGTCTGGAGCCGACAGGGAGCTTCAGGTCCCGGCGGGAATAACCCCTGCTGGCAGCGGGGGAAGCTCCCAGGTCGGGGTGGCTTTGGGAAGGAGCAGGGCTGGTTTGGTCTAAGCTCGGCAAGGGATGTGCGGGGCGCTCTGCGGGCATCAGAGTCACCAGCTGGGTTCCCACTGGGCGGTGGGAACGGGGATTATGACTTTCGTTTATTTAAAAAAAAAAAAAAAAAAAAAAAAAAAAAAGGTTCAAGTCCAA